GGAAACGGGTGTATAGGAAATAAACGTCTAGCCAAAGTGTCACGAAAGATAGTACGAAGATTGAGACTGATGAATACGTTTCCCGGATAAGGAATGGTGAAGTAGGAAACATCATAAAGAGAGAGAGACCCATATTTTACTTCTTATGTGAGTTCAGGGCAGCTAAGTGTAAACTGCATTACACTTAGCTGCCCTGAACTCACATAAGAAGTAAAATATGGGTCTCTTTCTTCCTTTGCCTTAATTTTCCAGAAAAAATTCCAAATTTTCCAGCAAGCTTTATGCGAATCTCAATTAGATATTTAAAATATTTTTTGAAATTCTGTTGGATTTCTTGTTTACTCCAGCTCATCTTTTTGAACCACCTTTCTCATAAACAACTTTATCACCTCCTCTGACTTACTTTTTTACGACGAGATCTGCCCTGCTCGTTTCGGAGCCGGCTGAGTTGCTCGCACGACAGCAGTATTCGCCTTCGTCTTCTTTTACAACACTGCTGATTACTAATGTTGCTCGACCCGCTAATGATGAGATTCTTAAACGGGCGTCTTCCGTCACGCGTTCGCCGTTATGAAGCCATTCGATTAGTGGTTCAGGATCGCCTTCCACCTGCAGTGTTGTTACGAACGTTAATTGGAATTTGATGAAATGAGCACCAAACAGATGCACTGATTCTAGTGCCACCGCCAGCTTTTGATTTTTTCCGCAACAGCTTCAGAAACTTCTGCCTCTGGGATTCATTGCCTCGTTTTGATAGTGAATAGCACTGTCGTGCTTGTGGCGTTAAAAGCTTCAACCACCTTTAGTTTACGTTTAAAGCAGTCCGGAAAAGAACGGATCAGGGGCACAGCAACAAAGGAGTTGCACCGGCTGCCTTTCATAAATTAGAAGTGCTGTCTTCGGCAAGCCATATAAGAATGCCGCTTCCCCCTCAGATAGTGAGATGTGGAGGGATTTTGACTTCCAGGACTTTTCACTGCAATGAGATGGCCTGTGGAATGCTCAGCGACCTACTTGCTGCGATAAACATCTGGACTGAAATGCTTACCTCGCAGGAGAATTTGGCTTGTTCATCCTCAAAGACAGTGTTGTTGGACAGTTTGGAAATGAAATTCGGCGGCTTCTCAGCACGTTTTGCAGTCGAGTCGTCACGAGATTTTGCTGTGGACAGTTGCGTAACACTACGCTTTGGGCTCACATCTGCACTGGACTGAGAGCGCTCAATGTCGCCCATTTTTAGTGAATCATAAACCCGTCTTGTACGATGTGGCACCACCGGTATTGCTTCGCCACCTCTACCTACAACACAAAAATTGACCGACATCTAGAAATGGTAGTTGCGCTGAATCTGAAGAAAAAATCAAGTCATACCCTGTACAGTGACGATACACTCGGTGTAATCTTTTCCTAAATCGTTTGTTGCCTCACAACGATAATTACCCGCATCATCTATACGAGAATTGAACAGCTCCAATGTACAGACCCCGCTTCGGTAAGTTAAGTGCGCCCTATCCATGTTGATTGGTGAACCGTCCTTGAACCATTCGACCTGGAAACAATTTAGCACTCATTTTCATTCCAATGTATTTTCATTCGCCTTAATAAGTTAGGTAATTTGCACAGAAAGACACTTGCAGAATATTTAATTGGAGAAGTAGCATTACTAGTGCTTTCTTTTGGAACGGCAATCATATTAGCTGCTAGCTAGCACCCAATGGGCACCCCTTTCATGCAACGACAGTGGTTTCTGCATCTTATTTCATGCATTACTTTTCCCCTTGAGCTCTTTATCAAAACACTAAACTTTGAGTATCCCAGTATGCATTTACGAGGGTAATGAAGCCAGAAAAACCTGAATATATGA